ACCATTTTCTGTTTCTAAAACCAATTCTGCCAAGACCTTGCTTCCTATACTTATGAACACAATTTCAGCTTGCAGGAAAGCTTCCTAAGATAGATAGAAAGATTTTGTGTGGTGCCTATATGTGGTTGAAGGACTATTTTCACACTTTAATGTCCACAAGGAAGAAATCCCTAGTAGTTTGCATAATACACAGATAGTGCCATATATAAGTGGTACAAGGTAGTTGTTTTTAGTTTGACATTTTCTTAAGTGACATCGAGAACTCACGAGAAGTATCTATTTATATAGTTTTGCCTGTATTCACTTCCAAATACTTCAGTAAAGGAGGAATAAAGGAGAACTATAAAAGATGGCTTGTATGTAAAGATGGGATAGAATTGGAATGGTGCTCAGAATTAGTTCATCTCACACTGTGATCTGGTTATGCTTTGTTATTATTGTTTATAGGTTTTTTGTTGTTTTTTCTTTTTTAGAAATCTGAGTTCCCCTCAGTTGTAACATGAATACACCTGCCAGGCATTATTATTTTTTTTAATTAGAGGTGCTGCATCCTTCCCTGAGGTTCCAGTGGTGATCCTTTGGTGGTTGTTGCTGAAGCGCTTTTTCAGAGGCTGTCAGGAGTGTCTTGAGAGCCCCAGTGACCCCCTGCAGACCTGCCCCCCGCCCCATGGAGGCCCTCCTGGGAGGCCCTCCTCTCCCAGGCACACAGCCCCTTCATTTGGGAAGAGAACCACTTCCCTTCCTGCCGAGGTGCTGCCCCTGGTGTTCCTCGGAGGAGGGAGAGGAGTATTTTTGCCACTTTACAGAAGAGAAATGTAGGTGATAGCATGGTCCACGTGGTGCAAGAAGGGGGATCTCTTGGAGGTACCTGGGTCCTCTCCCACAAATCACCAGAGGAGTGTGTGCTTTCCCTGGTTCTTCTCAAAATAACTGATTAGATGGACTGTGTGCATCCATCCTAACATGCTTTTTATTCTTTGTTTGTACCTTTGGAGGATCCCAAGGTGAAAGACACTCATAAACAGGTCAATGTTTCACCCAAAACACAGGATTCTGTGGTTTATGCCAAAGAAGGAAAAAAGAAACCAAAGACAGAACCTTTAATCCAGAGTGGGGCAGATAAGGTGAAATTCCGTGTGGCTGGTGATTCAGAATGCTGCTAGGTTGAGAATGTGCTTTTTCAGACTGATTTCATCCTGCAGAGTTGTGACTGACAATGATCTGATTTAAAATCCTGACTGTCTACAAACAATAAATGCTGGAGAGGGTGTGGAGAAAAGGGAACCCTCTTACACTGTTGGTGGGAATGCAAACTAGTACAGCCACTGTGGAGAACAGTGTGGAGATTCCTTAAAAAACTGGAAATAGAACTGCCATATGACCCAGCAATCCCACTCCTGGGCATACACTGAGGAAACCAGAACTGAGATATAATAGCCAGGACATGGAAGCAACCTAGATGCCCATCAGCAGACAAATGGGTAAGGAAGCTATGGTACATATACACAATGGAATATTACTCAGCCATTCAAAAGTATTCATTTGAATCAGTTCTAATGAGATGGATGGAATTGGAGCCCATTATACAGAGTGAAGTAAGCCAGAAAGATAAAGACCAATAGCGTATACTAACACATATATATGGAATTTAAAAAGATGGTAACAATAACCCTAAATGCAAAACAGAAAAAGAGACATAGATGTATAGAACAGACTTTTGGGAATGCAAACTAGTACAGCCACTGTGGAGAACAGTGTGGAGATTCCTTAAAAAACTGGAAATAGAACTGCCATATGACCCAGCAATCCCACTGCTGAGCATACACACCGAGGAAACCAGATCTGAAAGAGACACATGTACCCCAGTGTTCATCGCAGCACTGTTTATAATAGCCAGGACATAGAAGTAAACTAGATGTTCATCGGCAGATGAATGGATAAGAAAGCTATGGTACATATACACAATGGAATATTACTCAGCCATTAAAAAGAATACATTTAAATCAGTTCTAATGAGGGATCCTATTATAAAGAGTGAAGTAAGTCAGAAAGAAAAACACCAATACAGTATACTAATGCATATATATGGAATTTAGAAAGATGTTAACGATGACCCTATATGTGAAATAGCAAAAGAGACACAGATGTAAAGAACAGACTTTTGGATTCTGTGGGAGAAGGCGAGGGTGGGATGATTTGAGAGAATAGCATTGAAACATGTATATTACCATATGTGAAATAGTTCACCAGTCCAGGTTTGATGCATGAGACAGGGTGCTCAGGGCTGGTGCACTGGGATGACCCTGAGAGATGGGATGGGGAGGGAGGTGGGAGGGGGTTTCAGGATGGGGGACACATGTACACCCATGGCTGAGTCATGTGAATGTATGGCAAAAACCAGTATAATATTGTAAAGTAATTAAAATAAATAAATTAATTAATAAAAAATAAAATAAAATCCTGGCTGTAAGTGTCTGATTTATTAATACATTGGTTATCATGTAGGGCTGTGGTGAGGGGAGTTAAAAAACAAAGTTCCATGGTTGAGGTCAGTGAGCTTCTCCTGTTAGGAAGCCCAAGATGAACACAGGACTTAGAACTCATTCTGTTGTCTCTCCAGATGTCAGGGTGGGCCTGTTTTCCCTGAAGGGCCATTGACACAAAAAACAACCAACAAGCATGTCAACCTTTTGAGGGAAATGTGAGCATAAAAGCCATCTGAACTCTTTGGAGTATGAGAGACTTTTAAAAGACTAGATTTCAGAAGTGACTTTAAAAGGAGGTAATTTAAAGGGCACTCCTTCCAGTCCTAGTCCTATTCTTAGTGCTATTGGTACAACCACTACCACTAGTAATATTGTTATCATTATTCACATTATTAGTACTACTGTTACCACCATTGTCAGTACTACTACTAGTATTACCATTAGCACTACTGCTACGACTGTTACTGGCGCTATTGTTACTGCTATTGTTGGCCTGTTACTAGTATTGTTAGTATTACTGTTACTGTGCGCACTGCTGGTGCTAACCATTGTTGGTGCTGATAAAGTAGCATCATTGTTACTGCTACTGTTCCTACCATTGTGAGCACCACTGTCACTGGTATCATTACTGCTACTGTTACTACTGCTGTTAGCATTAGTGTTACTACCACTGTTAATACTACTGGTATCACTACCATTGGTGCTACTGCTGCTATTATTATTAGCACTACTGTTACTATTATTATTATTGCTGTTGTTCCTACTGTTATTAGTATTACTATTACTGTTAGCACTACTAACAGTAGTAATAGTAGTAGTAATAATATTACTAGTATTATTTGTGCTACCATTACTACCGCTATCAGCTCTGATGGGGGTCCAGGCTCTGAAGAAGGTGCTTCGGTGGCCGTGTTCCCTGTAGGTGTGATGAATACTTAGGAGACCCTGGTCCCATGGCTAGCTGTGGAGAGAGAGGAGAGTGGCTGGAGGGGGGGTCCCCTTGCCTTCTCCGCAGCATCTGACAAATTTGGAGGTCCTTTCTCTTAATGCTGTCCTCTCCCTTGGCTCTCAGCACCACACAGAATGACTTCAGTTTTCTCCTCTTTGCTTGCTGCTTCTTAGCTTCCTGTGTTTGCTTCGAGCTATAGAGTTGGCTGTTTCCTTGATGTTTTTCTCTGATTGTTACTCCCCCCAACCCCCGTGCTCCCCACCCCAGGACAAAGCATCGTCCTGTTGTGCACCAGGCTCTGGTCTGGACATGCAGGGGTGTTCAGACATGTTTCTTCCATCTGCAGGGCTTGCAGCTTGGTGGGTCGGCAGATGCCTGAGCATCGAGGTCAGACTGATCTGAGGCACGCTCTGGGGCTATCCCTCAGCCTGTTGAACCTTTATGACCTGAAACTCTGTAGTATATTAACAGCCATAGAAAATTTAACCACTGAGTAAAGTGTCTTTCTTTGCAAGACACACTCTGTGGGAATGGCCTAGGTGGCCGGGCGCACAGCAGGCCCTCCCTCTGGGAGGAGTGTGGTGTCCTAGGACTCACACTCCAGCTGTCACCCTGCTGCACACGGGACCTGGGCACACTCCGTATCTGCAGGGGGCCCTCTGGGTTTGTTTGAAGACTGCCTTGAGTGTTAATATCAAAGGCACAGATAGAGGAACCGCTGGGACGCACTGGGTCCTGCCCCTTTCCTCTCCTCTTCCGTCCCTCATCCTCCAGCCTGTGGTGGCTCTTCTAGGGCCGGGGGCTGGAAAGGGCAAGAATGGACCCATGGGGGTGGGGAGGTCCAGGACTCTTGACCAAGGAACGGGATGGGCTGCGACTGTAGTCTCCCATTTTGGATCATGAGCCCATCAGCGGCCATATCTCTGTCCTTTCAGATGTTGAAGGAACTGCCTGGCCCACTTCTTTCTCTTTGCTGTCACCTGTTGCTTTTGATCAGGATGAGGACAAACTTTTCAAGAATCTTGGGATTTTATAAGCATTTAACACATCTAGTTGTAATGCTAATTACATGATTTTATCTGCCAATTAATTTGAGTGACTCAAGTGTACAGCTTCAACCCCTACCTATTTAAGCCCAGTTCTTGAATATGTTTTGAAGGAGTACATCTGTGTGACCTTAAAATATGATGTTGATGTCTGGTGCTTGCTTTGCATTTATTCCTAACTGAATGAGCTGGATACACACTTGTCGAAAGCTCACTGTATTTGTCTCTGGCCTGAGTCCCCTGAGTGGTGAGACCCAGGGATGACCCGGACTCCCAGGGTCTGGGACCTTTATGGACACAGTGCAGATGTCGAGGCCCACCAAGGCCAGCACCTGGACTAAAGCAGAATCAAGGGCAGTGGGGAGATGGAAGTGGTGTGCAGGGCCTGCGGTCCCTGGACCAGGCTGCCTGACAGTGATACACGAGGCTCTGAGAATGCTGAGCTGTAACTCTGGTTTGGATCAGAGAAGGTACAAGGCACGTCAGCTTGAAAACACTGTCTGTGTCATTTTCCTGCAGATGGTGATGTGTTTAAAGCCCAGACTCCTAACCAGGAAGCCCAAGGAGCCCCAGAAGTCAGAGAGGCCCCAGACGTGCACATGGAGGTGCCTGTGGACGAGGTGGGTGTCCCCTCACCCTGTCTGCATGCATTCCTGGCCCCTCTAGAATGTTCTTTGCTTCCTGGGTGGAGGTGCNCCCTCACCCTGTCTGCATGCATTCCTGGCCCCTCTAGAATGTTCTTTGCTTCCTGGGTGGAGGTGCCTGTGGACGAGGTGGGTGTCCCCTCACCCTGTCTGCATGCATCCCTGGCCCCTCCAGAATGTTCTTTGCTTCCTGCAGTTAACACCCTTCAGACCCTGTGCCTCACACTTTCCTGCCTATCTGCCCCTGCCAAGACATTCTTGCTACCAGGACCCTCTGATCAGTAGTCTAGGTTTGTGACTGCATACTCGACCTTGTCATTTTTTTGGTTCCTGTCTTTCCCCCTGCTAAGCTGCAAGCTCCACAGCAATGAGATGGTCTGCGTTGCTTAGCTTGTATAGCCCCTGTTCCCAGCAGAGCGCCTGGCAGGTAGGAGGCTCCTAGGGATCACTGGTGGAAAGACGGGATGAATGATGTCTTCAGACCCTGTGGTCAGGAACCAGGCATCTGTTCCTTCCTAGCTTCCTGCTCTCTGGTCTCAGCGTCCTGTCCCTGCGATGAGGTGATGTCACCGAGCCAGCCAGCATGGGCACTGAGTGAGGTTGTACAAGTGGAAGTGTCCCGTCCAGGGCTTGGCGTGCCGTGGACCCTTGCTCACTGTTCCCTTCACAGAGGAGGGAGGTGAAGCCCTGCGTGTTCCCCCAGAGGAGAGGAGGGGACAGATGAGCTGGCTGAGGGGCTGACCTCGAGCCAGGCTCCTGCACAGGAGCAGAAGCAAAGGGCCGCACCCCCGGGCTCAGCTGGCAGGAGCTGTCGGGCCCTCGGGGCTCAGCATTAGCATCAGTCTGGTCACTTGTCCCCTCACTTTAAGTCAGGTGTGGCTACCTGACCTGCTATCACCGATGACATGCGACGTGTCCAGGCAGAGGCCTTAAAGGCCAGTGTGGACTTGATCAAGTGCCTTTTCTGCCTCTGAGATTGTGGGAGCACTAGGGGTTAGAGTCTCCCAGCTGGCTGATTTTGAGAGACCCTCCTCTGCCCCAGGAACCCGCGTGGGAGCCTTTGATTTTGACCCCAGAAGACAGGATTTTCCCAGGGTGGAGAGAGGCCCCAGGGCACCAACTGCTACAGCTTGTTGCCTTTTGCCAACAAGCCATGACCACCAGGAAGGTGCCCACTCAGAGAAGTGTGCCCATGGCCTTGTAGGGAGCGGGGCCAGGCAGTCTCTTGGACCCGGAGAAGAGTGCTGTTTGGGGTCCCCACGGGAACGCTGGGAATTGCAGAGGGTCTGCAGTGACCAGTCTCTCCTTTTTACCCAAAAGGGTTCTGCAGTGTCTCTTAACATTTTTCCCCAGCAATTTTATTATGGAGGTGGGCATTCGGTGGCGCAGCCAAAGGTAAAAGCACAGAGCAGATGCCATCCTGGGTGTGAAGAAACCTCTGTGGGAAAAGGATGGCTTTCGTCTCTGCCCGCACGAGTGTCAGGAGGTCACAGGGCTTCATGCGCTCTTTGCAGCTTGGAAGGACTGTGACGCAGGTTGACTGTGACTAAATCCAGCGTGTGGTGTATTTGCTCCCTGGAAACCAGCCGAGATCGTCCAAGACACTGAAGAGACAAACAGACACACGTCGGATTTTGAAAGCAGCAGGGTGAGTTATTTCTACTTTCGTTTTGTACTGCCCAGCTTGAGTCTACGGCACCTCTTCATCCTTGCAACATGCTGGGTGGAGCTCACATTGGATGGGACAAGGGTCAGAGAACCAAGTCACCCCAGAATAGAACTGTGGGGCCAGAGTGTGTGTATTCCCTGCAGGCTGTGCTCACCTCAGGTCTCATGTGTCAGAAATTGCAGGCGTAGTTTTCATGGTTCTACACTAATCCTAATTACCCTTTGCTGTATTTCCGGTCACAGACCAAAAAGCTTTTTCCCCAACAACTTTCGAGATGCATTTTTAGAAGGGGAGGAAGGAGAGGGGCGCCTTGGCAGCAGATGTGGGGGAGGCTCCGTTGTTCTGAGTACCCCGGGCATCGGTTTTGTGGGCTGTCAGTGTGGTGTGAACGACAAGTCTTGGCTGAGGTTGCGTGTGGCACAGACTCTGTAGATGGCAGTGTGAGCTAGCTCAGAATGCACTGTGTGGTTTGGGTTTTCCCTCTTTCTCGTCCAGATGCTTTAGATGTGCCATCAATGCACGCAGTGTGTTTCTTCCTGTTGTAAGTGATGAGAATATGTGACTAATCTGTATGAAATATGTGTACGGGGAAAACAAAATTGATGCCCTTCTATTTTAACTTTTTTAATCGAGTGATATTTGACAACTAAAAACTCTCTATTTTTAAGGTACACAACTTGATATATGTATCAATTGTGAAATAATCACCATAATCCAGCTGATTAACAGAGACGTGGGTGTGTAGTGAGAACATTCAAGACAAAATTCACTTTAAATGTACAGTTCATGGAGCTGAGAAACAGATTTTGGGAATTTGTTTTAAAAATTCCTTAGTTTTTTTTTCCAAGGTGGTTTCTTGTTTTTAAATTCTCGATCTCAGGCAGGAGGTTGGGTAACACACATGGGATATCGAGTCAACCTGAGTGCGTTCTGATAAGAGAATATACACCAATCCGCGGTGTGATGGCCTTGCAGATGATCATCTCCTCCTCTGAAACTTACCCTGCAGTGTCCAGGCTCCATGCATGGGAAGAGGGAACAGTGACTCCAGAAGTGGCGGACTGCGGGATGCTGGAGCTGGAGTTGGTCCCTGGTTCTGGCGCATCTTGGAAAGGGGTGTTTGTTGGGAAGGACTTAAGTCCTCAGGAAGCTGGTTCAGGTTTTTCAACCTGAGCAAGCTTGTGATCTGAAACAGATAGCTAGAGGGAATAATCTTTCAAATGATCCTTTTGCCTTCCTTACAGTCTTAACTATTTATGACCAGGAGGCAGCATTCAGGGAAAGACGCGATGTGTCCAGACAGTTAGGGAAGCCTTTCAAATGCAGATGGGGGGTATTTACAAGGATGCTCATGGTGGGTGACAAGTGTAAGGCTGTGTCTGGGGTGGGAGGGCATCGGTCCCAGGGCACTGGGTGACCAGGGGCCAAAGGTCCCCTGCTTGTGTTTCCTGGAGGAAAGGGTGCTGTTAGGATTCAGTAGCGGAGTAATGGAATATCATGGTTTAACGGAAACACGGCATCAGTGTTTCATCTGCACTGAGTTTGTACCGTCACCTGGAGGTGTGCACACTGTAGGAATTCATCTCTGCCTTACTAACTTGTTCTGTAGATACATCTCCTTGGGCCTCTGGGGTCATCTTGTGTACTAGCAGCTGACTTCAGTCAGGAGACAATTTCTAAGCATGTATCAAAGTGACTTTCTCAATGCCAGCAATATCACTAGAATAATGGCAAACACAAGCACCTCACTTGTACATATCTGGGCTAAGGACCTGAGCTTTTGGACAGGAAGGTGATAAGGAGTGTCTGAGCCTCCTTCTCTTGCCCAAACAGGATGAATTAAGTTGGGCAAAAGGGCTGGATGGGAGACACATCTTCACTGAGCTCTGCCCAGGGGCTGGGCACGGTGCTGGGCCCTGACACTCGCATCCCAGCTCACTCCCACATTGATCTTCCAGGTGGTGTCAGCCCCCCTTTATAAACTCAGAACCAGTGAGATGGAGAGATGTGAGCGAGTCTAGCATGCCGGCAGTCAGGAAGCAGGGTGCTGGGCTCTGAACCCAGTTTCAAACGATCTACAGTTGGTATTTCCTCCTCCCCAGGGAGTAGGCTGGCTGAGTCTCACTCCTTGGAGGGACGCTGCCCACATGGGGCTTCCAGGATGGGTGCTCTGTGGGGCTGGGTGCTGGCTTCCTTGTGTGCGAGGCTGCTGCATGTTCCAGTCCTGTTGGGTGCACATGACTCAGCTCAGCTCCAGCACAAGACAAACAAAACCCCCAGTGGTGAGAAATGCCTCTGAGGTTGAAGGTTGTCAGCCCTAAAACCTAGCCCATGTTCTATGGGATCAGAAAGAGAGCAAGCATTGTATAAGCATTGCAGCAGCTAGTAACACTAATGAAAAGAAATAATACTCTACCCTTCCTGGCTGATAGGCTGCATGATCTATCTGCTCTCAGTGGAGTGGGGTTTCTCTTGGCATTGCATTTGTCTGTTCATTTGAAAGATCAATCTTGTGATGTTTATTTGACTCTGGATGTATAGGTTTCTTAGGTATGCGGTTTCTGGCTTAATCACCCTCCCCAAACTGATTGTGAAATCCTGAGGGGCTGATATGTGTCCTTTGCAGTGTCTAGGACAGTCTTATACACTGTCCTAGGTGCTTCATAAATTCTATGGAATTGCTTTGCTTTGCCCATGACTCAGTTGCTTAAAATGAAGAGTGTGATCTTGGGATAAAATGGTAATGACCGTGCTAAGCTGTAGGATAGCATATTGTTATGAACAAAACACAAGAAAAGGTATGACCAACCTGGACAGCATAAAAAGCAGAGATATTACTTTACCAACAAAGGTCTGCCTAGTCAAAGCTATGGTTTTTCCAGTAGTCATGTATGGATGTGAGAGTTGGACTATAAAGAAAGCTGAAGAATTGATGCTTTTGAACTGTGGTGTTGAAGACTCTTGAGAGTCCCTTGGACTGCAAGGAGATCCAACCAGTCAATCCTAAAGGAGATCAGTCCTGAATATTCATTGAAAGGACTGATGTTGAAGCTGAAACTCTAGTACTTTGGCCACCTGATGCAAAGAACTGACTCATTAGAAAAGACCCTGATGCTGGGAAAGATTGAAGGCAGGAGGAGAAGGGACCGACAGAGGATGAGATGGTTGGATGGCATCACTGACTCAATGGACATGAGTTTGAGTAAACTCTGAGAGTTGATGATGGACAGGGAGGCCTAGTGTGCTGCAGTCCATGGAGTTGCAAAGAGATGGACACGACTAAGTGACTGAATTGTGACATGAACAGTGTTTAGAAATACATATTATATTTCTGATATTGGATCACAAGGGTTCCTGTTTCATTTTGTTGAAAATTGTTAGGATAAAGCACGTTTATATATAGCATGAGACTTGCTGTTTTGACTGTTTAGTGTACTTAGTTCATCACACCCGTAAGCTCAGGGGTGTGAAGCATGTTTGTAGTGCTGCATGGCTGCATCCTCAGGATGCTTTAAATGTGTTAGTCACAGTCAGGACAACTTTGCCCACGTCTGACAGTTCAAAAATATTTTCCTTCTTGAAAAGGTGGAATCTTATCAATGTTAATTAGCTAATTTGGAAAACTCTTCTGTGAATTTATAAAGATGATGTGTGTACTTTCCCCCCTTATCTATTTCAAACTGCGTTCCTGACACATGTTTTTAATGGAATTGGGTGTTTGAGAACTGTCAGAATTGAGGTGGGTTGCAATCTCTCCAGTTCTGCTCGTGCCTGATTTGTTTGGATCCATCCATTGTAAGGTACTTCATGTGCAAGCAGCACTTCCTCATGAGTGCTGCCTGCTAAGTATGTAAAACATTTGTAAGTTTGTAAAAAGTTTGTCTAAAAGTTTAGAAAAGATTCAGTTCCTTTCCAAAGGAATGTGAAGATGAAGTCACAGGCCATGTGTTTAGGGCTCTCCAGCCTGGCAGGAATTTTGCACCCTGGGAAGAGTGCAGAGTGATCTGCAGGCAGGTTTGCATGGGAGTTGTCCAGCCTCTGGGACTCTAAACCTTAATATCTAGCTGCGAGATATGGGTTATCAACATTTTAATTGATTTAAAAAATTTTTTTTCCTGCCTTCAAAAATGTTATGCATTTAAAAATGTCCTGGATAATTTTGTGTATTCATGGAGTGGGGAGGGAGAGTGGTTGATGTTAATATTTTGGGTGCTCTCCATGGAGGTTATTCGGGCACTTTCTACCACCTTTTGGCCACTTGATGCGAAGAGCCAGTGCATTGGAAAAGATCCTGATGCTGGGAAAGATTGAAGGAAGGAGGAGAAGGGAATGACAGAGGACAATATGGTTGAACGGCATCACTGACTGGATGGACATGAGTTTGAGCAAGCTCTGGGAGTTGGTGAAGGACAGGGAAGCCTGGCATGCTGCAGTCCATGGGGTCTCAAAGAGCTGGACAAGTTGTATCCGAACAACAACTTCATCACTGCCATTTCAAGTTTCTTCCACCCTCCAAGGCTCCTTACTAACACCAACATCCTCATTAAGCTTTCTGGATCCTTCACCAAGAGGTGGAAGCACTTCCTCCGTGACTCCCAGTCGTGTTCTGTGTGTTTCTTACACCACCCGAATCACATGTTGGCACTTCTTACAGTTATTTGTGCACTTCTCCTGTGTCCTCGGACAGAGTAAGTTTTGAGAAGAAAGAGTTTGCTTTACTATATTCTTAACAACTCTCACATCACCTGGCATGCAAGAGTAGCTGTTCTTGAATCTGGTCAAGAACCTTGAGCACAGTAGATGCCTATTATGTAGTTGGCCTAGAGGCAGGCCTGTGGCAAAGCTGGGGCCAGGAAGTCATTCCGAACAGAGAGAACTGAAAATGAAGCTGGATATTCAGTGAGTCTCCAGAGACTATGTCTTAAGAAGTCATCAAAGCCTTGACCTTTCTCTCCATGAAAATTAAATTCTCTTTGGAAAATACCATAAAGTCAAAAGTCAGCCAAAATATGGAAGAAACTATCTGCAAGGCAAATTTTCTTAATTTACAAAGAGTTCATTAAGTCATTTATATAATCCCATTAAAAGAAAAGATGTAAGAAAATATATCTACTTTATTCCTATTTAAAGAAATACAAACAAGAAATGGTGAGTTTATTTTAAAAATCAGGTTGACAGTGTCCAGGGCTGGGATGATGCAGGGAGGATGAAATTCTTCTTAACAGGGTCAAATGTAAATGGTGCAGCCTTTTGGGAAGGGAATTTTGCTCTTCCTATGAAAATTAAATCTGCACATGTTTTTTAAACTATCATTTCTATAGCTAGGAATACCCCACAAACATACTCATAAATAACAAGAAATAGAAACAAATGAGATATTCAGCCTTTGGGGTTGGTTGATTAATTTATGCTTCATCCATACAATGGAAAAC